GGACTGAAGGCAGGATCAGCGAGGTAATTACGTCTCAGATCTGCGTTTCCAGCAAGTCCGGTGACCAAAATTGCGCTCAAGGTGTAGCAACTGTTGCGGGAAAATACGGTAGGACCTGGGTCTCCAAAGATCAGGAAGCTCTGAAGAGACAGAGGGGGAAGAGGCAACACTTAAAGGCCAGGTAAAGCCGGGCAGGTGGGGAGCAGACAAACGAGGTTACAAGTTCACATGGGGAAGTTTCTGTCATCCATGAAATACATTAAACATCAGGTAGGAGGACCCGGTTGTGAAGAGCCTGAAGGAAAGGCCAAGGGATTTAGAGAGGATCGAACTCCAACGGAGCACTGACAGGTACGGATGAAAACAGAGGTCTGCTCTGGGCTCTCTCCCTCCAGAGGCCGGGAGATGGGGTGATGATGAAGGGGGCCTGGGAGAAGGCGGGTGAATGAGTTCACCAGCCACACGCTGTGATGACTGATGACTGATGAGAAGCAGGGCAGGGTGACAGGTCACCATTTCTCGGTCTGACCCCAAAGCAGTGGAGTCTGTTCTACAGTGTCACCTAAGTCAAAACCACAGCTGTCCTAGAAGAAGTATCACAGAAACCAAGTCACCGCCCATCTTTCAAATGTCCACAGAGGATGGACAGATTCCTTGTCCTTCCTTCTCTCATACAACTCTGGTTCCCTCCCATACCGAACCCCCCCCCTTCACTTCCTGCCATCTTCAACTGCCTTCATTTTTCCTTAAGGTCTTTTCTTAGGCAGCCATTAACATCCATCATCGGGGTGGGTGGGAGACTAAAATTGTTTTACGTTGTAAAACTTGTGTTCAATCTCACCCAAGTCTCTCAGAATTACTCTCCAGTTGCCAGTTCTTCCCGGTGGGATCCTATCTGAGGCCATAAACCCTTTAAGGCCCAGTCAAGATATCCTCCTGGGAAGAGTCTGAGGATGACCTGATTTGCCAGGCCGCGTGGAAGGATAGAGAGAATACTAGACTCAGCATCAGAAGATCTCTACTGCTAATTAACGGTGTCAGCTTCTACTTCTCCAAGTCTCAGATTCAGAGTCACTCAGAGCCTGCAACGCACTCCTCTGACCTTCCGTTCCTCAGTTCATCTAACAATTCCACCAAGGCCTGCTGAAAAACGTTTGCTTGTTTAAATACCATTTTTAATTCGAATGAGTTCATGAAAGTATTAATGGGATTTCTTGATGCAACCAGTATTTTAAACCAGTCACCTGCCAGTCAACTCTGGCTCAGGAGGATCCCTCTATGAAGGGATTGAAAATGTTCGTTAAAAAATGAAGTTAAAAGATAATGGAATTTCCCCACAATTTTTCTTGGATCCTTCTCGTATTACAGAGTAGAGCTGAGCTCCATCTGGGTTTACATTGGCTATAGTCCTCAAGGGAGCCTACCACCATTCTTCTTCCACGGTCTACTGGATAGGTTCAAGCCACCAACCAGTATAATGACACAGTATAATGACACAAGATACTTTTCCATTAATTCAACTGAAGAGCAATTCATGTATTTGATGCCCACTGTGTACCTATTTTTATCAGGCAACTTCTATCTGAGCAATTTTCTGGCAATCCTAAATCACAGTAAGACCCTTTGTTAAAACAAACAAAAAACCCCATTGCCCTGGAGTTGATTTTTGACAGAGCAGGACTGCCCCATTGGGTGTCAAAGGAACTGACCACTTCATCTTTCTCCCTTGGAGTGGCAGATGGCTTTGAAACACTGACTTTTTGCTTCGCCACCAAGCGCTTAACTGCTGCATCACCAGGACTCCCGAAACAAACCATAGGGCATTAGGGTGAGTGGATGGAATTTTCTCTCGTAACAGTCTTGCGATCACCCAACTCCCCCCGCCACACACAAAAAACAAAAACAAAACCCTGCCATTGAGTTGACTCTGACTCTTAGCGACCTTCCAGGACTTCTGAAGCTGTCATCTTCAAGGAAGGACACTGACTGCCAGCGGCCCACTTAACCCACTGCACCACCAGGCCTCCTTTTCTCAGCATAGGACCCTGTCAACCAGGACTTGAATCCCCCTACCCATGCCCATGACCTCAAGGAGCTCTGGTGGCATAGTGGTTACGAAACGGGCTGTGAACCTCACGGTCAGCAGTTCGAAACTACTAGCCGTTCTGCGAGAGAAAGATGAGGCTTTCTGCTCCTGTAAAGATTTATAGCCTTGGAAACCCTGTGCAGGGTCGCTATGAGTCGAAACCGACTCCACGGTACTTAACAACAACAACCCATTACCTCATGCCCCCACTCCTTGTCCCCATTCACCTTCTGAGGAGGCTCTGACCACCACCAACGTGAATCTCCGAGGCCTGGTTCTCTTTCCCGGACCCCACGTTCCCTCACTCCAAAGGTGAGGGAAGGACCTTTTCAGAGAATTCTATTACTGGTGGCTTTCTCACCACAAGGAATAAACTGAAACATGGGAAACACTGAGGACTTTATGTCAGGCAAGCACAGTCAGAAAAAGGGGCAGATGGCATCACAAAAACCACCAAGGGCAAACACTCCTGTTTCTGTCTTATTCGGGAGAGAAAAAAGGAGCTTATTACATTTTCAGAGTAAAGACTAGTTTCTAACAGCCCCAACAAATTAACCACTGCTTCAAAAGGTGACTGGATTTGAAAAGACTGGGGACCAGCCTGGCTCAGAATCATGTGAATTTCCAGTTCTTGTGCAAACCTATGAGCAAAATCAGCAAGAACCAGGCCTCTGAAACCAGGCCACATTGGAAACACAAGTTCTGACAAGACACAGTCAAAACACCTCTCAGTAAACTTAGTGCCTGGAGGAGACCACCTCCGCCTCCTACTGCCAGGCTGCATCGAGCCTTTGAAACGGCGCTTAGTGTTTCAGAGATACAATGCAGTGAGACCTGTGAGAGCCGGAATGCGGGGCTTGCCAGTTTTCCACCTTTGACAGGGTGTCGTCTCACTGCCTTTCTATGGCTTCTTTTACTGGCAGATACTTACTTGCGTTTTCCTTCTCCGACAAGTTTCTGTCTTACACAGGTTCCGGTTTTTACCGTCTTCATGGTCCCAGCCTCAGAGAGGCAGAGGCTCAGCTTCATACAATGCTGCCTTTCTGCTCCCCCCTCATCCCACCCACTCCCTTGTCACCCCAAACTCCCACCAGAAAGAGAGCTGAACAAGGGAGAGGCCAAGATTACTCCCCAGCTGGTAGACTCGCCTGTATCCTAGATCCAGAGAGAAAAGATGAAGCAGATCAAATTTCCCTCTAAGAGAAATGCCCTAAAAGGTGAACTGAGGTCAGAGGGCTACTGAGAAGCTGAAAAAGCACGAGTGAACTGAGGCCACAGGGCGGGAAGACTCCAGTTGGCAGCGGGTGGTGGGTGGGGAGGCTTGAGGCAGTCACATGGGTGCTGTTCTAGGAACACCTGCTGTTGGGGCCCCAGAGCCCCAGGAAGCCGACTCCCTGCCAGGTCCTAGGGTCAACCAGTCCCAGCCCACATTCCAGGGATTCAGCGTGATTTTCTCCCTCTCTGCACAAGTCAACGCCTTCTCAGGCAGGGAACAGGGAACAGGGCTTTGCTCCATACAACCAAACTCTCCTCTAGCACATGGAACATGTAAACGCAAAACAGGCAAACCAGAGGCTTTCCAAAACTCTTAACACCTAAAATACCAGTTCTAAAGGAAACAGAACTGAAAACCCGCAACCCCAGCCTTCCTGACCCGAAAGAAACTCTCACACCCAACAGGGATAATGGATGAGACTCGGGTCTGTGTCCTTGCAGCCGACTCAAGTGGGCAACTCTGCCAAAACCAGCCAACCATACACCCCACATGAGGCCTTCTTCTGTGTCAGATGACACCCAATGAACAAAGCTCAGCAAATACACAACCCTCGGCACCTAACTCAAAACGCTCTCGGTCCTTGAGAGGACAGGGTGTTTGTTTTTTAAACTACGTACTTCTGTCTTCTGCGCTGATGTGGAGAAATCTACCAGGCACACAATGTGGCACAAGACGACAGATGCCAGAGGACCAACTGGACCTGTGCGTTTATGTGATGGACAGAAGTGGGTAAAGCCACCTTGGGCACTAGAAGTCAGGCCTGGGGGTGGCCTTCGGGGCTGAGAGGAGCCTGGGGGGACCTCCAGCAGGGCTGCTGGTGGGCTCTCCTGGATCCAGGTGTCTGCACAGGTGTGTTCCGCCTGAAAGCTTCCCATCACGCTGTATGCCAATGACAGAGACACTCGTCTGTACCCTAAGCTGCTGCTGCTGCTATGAAATGCTGTCTGGTCGGCTCCGACTAAGGCACTGTAATGGGAGGGAGGGAGCCCCATACTGATTTGGAAGTGACTGGAATAAAAGGGTTTTGCTCGCATTTTTTCTTGTTCGTTGCGTATCTAGGGAAATGGTTATTTCCAGCTCAAGTCTTCAGGTCAGTAACAATGAAAGTTGAGATATTAGGACGATCTGTGGCATTCTCAAGAAATTTGTAAATGTGACATAAGGGGAGAAAATTCATTTCAATAAAATCATCTGAATAGTAAGGTCTACTCTCGCCCACGGTGGTGTTCAGTCTAAGACAACCTAACGTAAATCCCCCCCTGTGACCATAACACCCTTCTGAACGAACAGAGAGGGGGCTGGAAAGAACACTTCATAGCTTCTACTTCAATTTTTTTTAAAAAGCCACAAAATCTGGAGGAAGAAGTAGTTAGTCAGAATCCCACTTCTGTGTCCTCAGATGGAAAATTAACTCAGCTTCATGTAGCTCCCTAAGAACATTTTAAAAAAAACACAAATGTGCCGATCTGATTTCCAAAAGCTTACTTTCGGAAAACATTTCCTACACTTCATAAGCATAAAACCAACACATAAACGAGGAGCCCCGGAGACAGACAATCAGCTAAACATAAATTTACAGATCATCAACATCCAACAACAAAAAATAAGCAGGCAGGGAGAACACTGAAAAGTACTTACAGCCATAATTAATTCAAAGGGGTGTTTATACACCCGCACTGGCGACTGGTATTTCTGCACCATGGTTGTAGGAGAATCACAATCCACTCACACCTACAAAAGAGAAACAGATGAGGCGGGCAAACAAGTCAATGAAACACACTTAGAGGCGACAGATAGGAAACGTCGAGTACAGAGAAACCCTGTGGAGGGTTTCCAAGGAGCAGCTGGTAGGTCTGAACCGCCGACACTGTGGAAAGCAGTCCAGTGCTTATCCTACAACGCTACACCAGGACTTAATAAGTCACAATTCTATGCACACAAAAAATCCAGGAAGTACATAACATATGTCAAGGGCCCAAACCGAAAACCAAACTCATTGCCACCAAGTTGCTACTGACTCATAGCAACCGTGTTAAGCAGGGGTGGAGAAGGTGTTTTCTGCCAAAATTTATAACATCATTAACGGACCATACAAAACTATCAACTGAAAACTTAGCCTGCTATATTTGGTCAAACATTTAAAAAACTCACCCCTAATGTGATGGCTGAACCGACTCCACAGCACATAACCATCAATATGATGTTTTTCAGGGCCTTATACAGCCCATGCGCGGGCAGGACGCTCCCCACCCCTGACTCAGGCCTGCTACATGTTTCTCTCATAGAACCACTCTCAGGCTTGCACCACTGGCCTCTCACTTAGCAGCTGGACTCCGTTTGCAAGAGCAGGAGAAGTAATCATAAAGAAAGGGTAAATAATAAAACAATAGGGAAAAGTGATGACAGGGACCAGCCCCCCCACCTGATGACAAACTGGAGACCCTGCCCCTCCTCTGCATCCCAGCATCTCTCAAATGGAGGCAGCAGGTCAGGTAACCTTGGAGATTTTTACAGCTTTGAAATACCAAGATTCCACAATTCTAATAACCAACAGGAGGTCTGGTGTGGCACCACAGGATAAGCACCTGACCTCAAGGTCGACTTGAAAGACAGGGTCAGTGGTTCAAACTCAGCAGCTGTTCCTCGGAAACCCCATACAGGGTCCAGGAGTGGGAACTGACTCCACCTCCAATTAACAACAATACCCAACAAAGGGGAGCGTACTGGCTCCGTAGAATAAGCATTGCACTGTGAACCACAAGGTCAGCAGTTCGAGTCCACCAGCCACTCTGAGGGAGAGCGATGAGGTTTTACAGCCTCAGACACCCTATACAGGGTCACTAAGAGTCCGAACCGACTAGGAAGTACTTAACAACAACCAAGAGACCCACTTCCCACCATTGAGTCAAGGAATGGCTGGTAGGTTTGAACCACCAACCGTGCAGTGAACAGCCCAATGCTAAACCCACCCTGCCACTAGGGCTCCATAATAACCAACAAAATGAGTTCTGAAATCATTTCTCTTAAACTAGAGAACAAATAAAAAACACATAAAGATACCAGGTCTGGAGACACACTAAAAGAAAAGTGGGCGGAGACTGGATGGCAAATTATGAAATCCTCCCCATACGCTAGTTCTCAAGGAAACTCCTCAAAGCCCATTTTCCGATTCTACACACTCTAATCTCAGAGAACTGTCTTCACACAGCTGAGGAGCCAAGCGCTCCAGCGGCTGGAGAGGCTGGGCTGACATCTCCACTGTAAATAGCTGCACTATCTGAGACAATAGATTAAAAGCTCAAGGACTCTGTAAGGGGTAGAACCGCCTCCTAGTTTATGCTCTCCCAACAAGCCTGCGTGGATTTCTCTCAAAACACACTTGGCTAAACGTTTATGGACCGCCATATGATTCCTTAACTTCCCCATTAACAGTGAGGACAAAAAAATGAATCCAATGAAATTACCTCTTCTGCCCAAGGATTAACATTAATAATGTTATCTTACACTGAATGTGGCCAAGAAGCTCCTCTCCCCCCTCCAAAAAAAACACCCCACTGGGACCCTGTAGGGCAAAGTAGAACCCCCCATAGGGCTTCCGAGGCTGTAACAACAAAATCTTTACAGCATTCGCCCCATCTTTCTCCCAAGTGGCTGGTGGGTTTGAACCACCAACTTTTCAGTTAGCAGCTGCCCAATGCTTAACCCATTGTGCTGCCAGGGCTCCTTGAATGTGGTAAGAAGACATTCAAAAGCACCAAACGGAGTGTCTTCAAGAGGCCCACAGACTAGCTGTACAAGAAAAAGAGTTTACAAAGATATCATTTCATTTCAGAAAAGCTCTACCGATAGGGCTGCATTTAAATCGCTCTGGAGCTTTCACGGGTAATGCTTTAGCAGTATACCTGGCAGAAGGCACAATTTAAGGCAGGAAATAGCCATGCTGAAACTGTTACGAACTAAGCTCTGGATGACCTCCAACCAGCCAGTCTCCTGACTCCTCGCAACACTCAGCTTCCTCTAAGAAAGGTTTCGTTCCACTGAGAGAACCATGGCGAGGCCAAGCTCCTGGGTTCTTTTCCAAACTCCCCTGGAAGCTCAGAGTCTGGACTGGGGGACGGGCGTGTCTGGTGCGCTGGGGCCACATTCAGAAGGGGTGCACCCGAGAACGCTGGTGCATAATTTAAAAAACTGAACTGGGAGAATTAATGGTAGGGTTATCTCCCTGATCAGCAGAGGGTATAATAAAGAGGGGCGGGAGGTGGTGCATGAAATACAGCAGAATGCTCACCGAAGAGGCGGGAATGTGGGATCCCATGCCCCAACCCAAAGCCACCACAGCGAAAGAAATGGGAACCCCCAGCTCCGGACACACGTCCCGCGTGGACATCGGACTTCCAGCGGCCAGGAGGCACGCTGGAACAGGGGCCCCTCTACTGCCTGACAATCAGTGTTTAAACTCGAGCCCGCGGCCGGACCCGGACGTCCACCCCGGGCAGCGGGATCCTGCAGGGGAGGGGCTGGAATCCCAGGTCCGGCCCGGCTCCGGACCCGGACCCCAAACTCTGCTCCGGGAGAGAGAAGCAGGCGGGTGGGGGTAGGAAGGGAGCCCCAGAAAGTCCGGGAAGAGAGAGGGGCGGCGGGCCCGCGCCCGGGGGGCTCCGAGCGGGGTGCGGGCAGGACCAGCGGGCGGGGTCCGGGGGCGCGCTCGGACCCGCCGCGGTGACGCGCCTACCTCTGTCAGAAAGGCCGGGCCCGGGGCGCGGGACGGCGAGGGACGCTCATGCCGGCGGCTCCGCGCAGCCGACGCCGTTCCACTGCTCTGCGGCTGCCGCTGGACCGCCGGTTCCGGGTAGGGGGCAGAGGGCGGGAGCGCAGAGGGGCGCGGCGAAGGCACGAGTGGTTGTTACGGGTGACGGTGAAGGCGGGGCCGAGGCTCCGGAAGAGCTGCGCGTGTGCGGACGCTCCCCGGCGGGCGGAGGCGGGAGCGGACGACGGTTGCTAGGGAGGGGGGTGGTGGTGACAACAGGCGCTGGGCCCGAGTACGCACGCGCGAACCCCCGCCGGGGAGAGCGGGGGAGGAGTCCGGAGGAGGTGTCGACCATGACGCAAGGCCTGGCTCCTCCCACTTCCTGTGTTTCGGGCTGGGAGCGGAGTTGGGTGGCGAGGGGTTCCGCTGAACTGGAACAGGGAAGTGTACGGGATGTCAAAATCAAAATCGCCGGGGGCCCGGGGACGACGGCCGGGTCGCGGCTTCCTCATTTTTTTGTTGACTGGTCAGAAGCCTGGTCGCATTCTCGCTAAGGAATGGCGATGAGGCAAGCACCAGGCTGGGACTGGCTGGAAGGGATCCGGCAGCTTCCCTGGGCTGGGCTGTGGGATCCAACTGAGACGCAGCCCAGAAACGACCCTTCACAGAGATGACCCCTCATCAGGAGGCTGCTAAGGGAGCACCGCCCCGGCCCTCAATTTAAAATGTACCAGAGGCACGATGAGACATTTAGGGGGCTCTGGGAGGTGCTAATGACACGTCCTCCCACACAGCAAAGCTGGGTTTTTAACCAACGTACAATTTCTCCATCAATGTCACTGTTGTTCCGTTCAAATGAGTCACCCTGGGTGGCTGTACATTTATTCCAGCGATGCTGTCATGGCACAGGACAGTTTAGGAATTGTTTTGGGATTTCCTCAGTACCATCTGACCAACCAACCACACAAGAAAATCATTCATGACTAGATTGCACTCTGTGTGTTTTTTACTCAAACGATCATTTTCCAACTTGATGGCCCACATTATTCACTTCCTTTAGTTCTCCCTGGATTTAGCCAGTTTCAGAAAATCATATGTTCCTTCCAAAGATGCTTGAGAAAGAAACAACCCAACTGAAACGAGTCTCCTGAGAAGTCTTCCCAAAGACCTATCAGGAGAAACGGTATTGCCAAAAAAAACTGACCTGATCTAAAAAGCTTCTAGATGTGACCATAGACTTAGAGGAAGTACAGGGAACAGAGGAACACGTTAAATGATACTATGGGAAGCAATGAGTAAAGAAACTGTAGGGAAAGTTACAAGGCAAGCATGTTCTTTATCAATAAATTGCAAAGGAAAAAAAGAGGAAGTAGGCCAATCTCTAGATTAAGAGATATTGGGGAAATTGTTCATCTGTATTCACTTGTATTTGTGGATTTTTTTCTAAATGTGTTATACTTCAATTTTTTAAATTAGCATAAAACCAAAAGAGATTTGAGAATCAACCAATTGCAATATATGAACTTTACTTCCATCTTGATTTAAACAAATGAATAGTTAAAGAAATATTTACATAATAGGGAATTTTAAACCTTCTGAATATATAATGTTATTAAGAAATTACTATTACTTTTTTTTTTTACATAGGATGAAGATATTATGGTTAATGTTCTTTAAAGAATCCTTATCTTGGAGAGATACATGCTGAAATATTGATGGATGAAATGATACATCTAGGAATTAGCATCAAAATAATCCCAACAAAGGAAAGGAGGCCTAAAGACCTAGGTGAAATAAGATTGATTTTAACTCAATAATTGTTCTTTCTACTATTCTGTTGACTTTGTTGTATATTGAAATAATCCTTAATAAAGCAATTTTTCTATATATGGCTATGAATGTCGTCTCTTTCACCTACTCATATTAGCTCATCTTCATTATGTTTCCATAATAA